ACAAGGAATGCTAGTGTGTATAGTGTCAGTTGGGATATATTACAACATTAATATTGTAATAAAACAAAATAATAAAAGATTCAAAATTCTCATTCAAGATTCAGTAAATCATAACTTTTAACCCTTCGGTAATCCCTGGTATTATTCATTTTCGGTTCCTAAATGATTTATTTAGTGATTTTTGGGTTTTTTTCCAATTTTTTTGGTCGAAAAGCATATCCATCATTATAACGCAAACAAGCTTCTAAATGTTTTTACGTACGAGTCAAACTGTTTACAACCGTGCGTATTGATCTCTTCCCTTTCAATTTGAACTCGATGATTTAGGAACGGCTCTGAGGATTTACCATTTTACCCCGGAGAAAATAACTCCACTTTGATTTATTCGTTTTGACGAGAAACGGAACCATTCGTGTGCCGTCTGGGGAGGCGTTTAACCTCACCATCACTTTGTTCGCCCTGCCGAAAGACGTTTACTTGAACAAATTGCTCAAAACATTTATGAATAAGAGAAAGGGAGAGTTATTGAGAGAGAGAGAGAGAGAGAGAGAGAGAGAGAGAGAGAGAGAGAGCGAGCTGATGAAGAAAGGCAGTACGATCGAGGAATTAACAGAAACGAGCCAATTTTACCAATCGTATAAAAGATCGGAGTAACTTTACAGCATATTATTCTAAACACACTCGCTTTTTTATACATTCTTTCTCAATTAACATACCATTTAATTAAGTAGGGAGATCGAGTAGGCATATTCCTCCACCCTTTATACATTTCTCATATCGTATAGCATTCCTACACGTTCTCTATATGGAGCCAAGAAAGACATCCTTCCTTGTCCACAAGTAGGACAAATGGAACAACCTTGTTCTACAGCCTTTTTCTATTCGGACTTTTGCCCAAAAGTGTTCGTGTGTCGACGGCGACTGATTTTCAGTTGGGTTTGATAGGTTCTTCTGCGATTTAGACTGGAGCCCACCCACTGACTGTGTACTTGGCGCGAAAGCTTCTCGAACGATTCCACTGACGCTGCCAACCTTTGCCATATTCTTTCTTGCTAGTTTGGAGGTGGCATTCCTACACGCTCACTATAGAGATCCAAAGATATTGTAAGCAGGGGAGACGGCGCGCCGGATCGAACAATCACTCTATATTCTAGCAAACACTGAGTTGTCGGCGTAAGCACCTCGCTACTTATTTTTGTGAGGGGAGGGTAAGGTTCGAGAATTTGATAAATTAGAAAGTATATCTTAACATTTATTTGAACACAATTCCGCTTTTTACATATGCACAAAAAATAACAATATATCAGATAAGTCAGCCACAAACGACGCTAGCCACGATCAGCGTCCTCAGCATCTTCTGAGTCCTTGCGGTATCTCGACCGTCGGCCTCATCGAATGAGTCGCAACGGCTGGTCCTCGCTGGCTATGGCTGGGTGAGATCGCTGGTTAAGTCCCAGACTGAGATTTGCTTCTTGAACTAGACTCACTGTTTTGAGCCTTTGAACTAAACTCACTTGGTTGGAACCCTTGACCTGGACTCACTGGTTTGAGCTCCTGAACGGGACTGATTGGTGTGAGCACCTGGACTAGACTGACTGGTGTGAGCCCTTGAACTACACTCACTGGTTGGAACCCTTGACCTGGACTCACTGGTTTGAGCCCCTGAACGGGACTGATTGGTGTGAGCCTCTGAACTGGACTCACTGGTGTGAACCCGGAATGAGACTCATTGGGGTGAGCCCTTCGACGAGATTTTCACTGAGATGAGCCCTTGTCCTAGACTCCTGGTTTCAGCCCGTGGACGAGACTCACTGGTTTGAGCCCCTGAACTAGATTGATTTTTTTTTAAGCTTTCTGCATAAAAGAAAATTCTGCTCCTAATTTGTCACATTGTTTTTATCTATATTTTTGAATTAAGAATACCAATAAGAGGTAAACAAACTTTATCCTTAAATCAAAACAAGGATAAAGGTTTAAAATGTTTATTCAGTCTCATTTGAATTCTGAAACAATAAACTGTTTAGTTTTTATCACTTAGTGCTGACGATGTTGCGCGTGGTATGGCACTTATTGAAGATGGACGACCATCAGGTGCGGCTATTGCCCTCGGAGTTCCCTACGAAACTCTGCGAGACCCCGATAGACATTCTAGAAACTGGGTCATACCATAGTAGGCCCAGTTCTGGGCGCTCTATGGAAACAGAACCAAAGGATGACCGTTTTTTGATTTTGAGAATTTTTCGAAACCGGCACCTTACTTTTGTTCAAGCGATTCATCAGCTCCAGGATGTTCGAAGTGTCCAAATTTCTGAACGCACTGCTCGAAGAAGATTAAAGGTCTTTGCCCCAACGTATCAACTAGGACCGTGTCAGGCACGAAAAAAAAACGGTCCTGTCACTACTATGCCCACTGCAACGGATGAACCGCGTTCTATACCCGTTTGTAACACGCATGTAAAAACGTTTAGTAGCCGTCCTGCTTCAGTCGCTGCCGTACATTTCTTTTTTAAAAACGCGTCGTTTGTGAACTTTTGTTTTCTTGTGTGGAGTGAATTTGTTAAATAAAGTATGGCTATTAGAAAATTATCTATACGAGAATTGGCCATGATTGCCATTATTTTGGACGAGGAAGAGGAAAAAAAAAACACTAGATGTTGTAAATTGTATAAAAACTCGTAATTACGAACATATTCTATTAGTTGTTTATCCTCCATTTTTATGAAGACACAAACACTCACAATACAATAGAACACAAACACAGATCTCTTCGTCAAATGCAAAGAACTTATGTTGAACGGGACAGCAACACAGTAGGCCGGATGCGCACAACGGACCGACACCTGCAAAATATTCTCGGCAGCCGATTTTTGACTGAACGGCACGGTACGGTGTTGGCCGGTGACGGAACGGTTTAGTGGGCATTTTCTAATACTAAATGATGTAAAGAATATTTATTTGCATGTGTCGGTACGGTTACGGTCCTAGTATGATACGTTCTAGTGGGCAAAGAACTTTAATCAATATGACTGGCTTTTCGCCCGGTAAGAGGACCAGAATTGACCAGAACAGACAGAGTTGCACGGCACCCATTTGATCGAGAACACAGCCATTGGTCTTTGGACGACTGGTCTTCTGTACTTTTTACAGATGAGGGTATATTTGCTCTACGATCTCCAGATGGCCGTGAAAAAGTGTGGAGAACGCAAAGGTAAGAAGCCTGAAATTTTTCCCAGAGCCGACCTTTTGAGGGTAGCTCAATGATGGTGTGGGCGGAAATTTCAACGGAGAGTCGTACAGAGTTGGTTTTTGTTCGTGGAGGGTCTTTGACGGCCACTCGCCATGTGGATGAAATTTTGGAACATCATGCGTTGCCTATCCTCGATGAAATCAACGTAAATCCGCTGATCTAATGCACGATAATTCCCGTCCACATGTCGCTCGCATAGTACAAAGAACTTTCAACAGCATAACATCAGGGTTTTAGCCTGGCCAGCCCATTCTCCAGACTTGACCCCCGACTAATAGGATAACCTCAAAAGACGAATAAGAGCACGTCCATCACTTCCTCTTCACACTTTACGATCATGAAAGAACTCTTCGTGAAGAATGGGCTAACCTCCAGCAAAGGGACATTTTCAGACTGGTAGAAAGTATGCCGAGGCGTCTTCGGCAAGAGGAAACACGCGATATTGAAATGTTAATAAAAAACCTGAAATAAAATTAAAACAAATTTTTTCTGTCCGACTTTTTTTTCATTTTTGATTTGCCTTAGCAATTTACATTTTTTAACTTATTTAGACAAAGACTCAATTAGTAAACGTTAAAAAACGTGAAACTTTGATTACTGTATAAAAATATATACAAATTACGTTACCTTACAAGTGGGTGGAATTTTTTGCAGGTCAATGTATGAATCACAACCACGGAATTAAACGTTTCAGGTGGTTTTATTGATTACAACCTTATTTTTTTCCTATTGACGAACTCTCATCAACGAAGTTGAACTTTGACATTACACTGTCAAACACTTGAGCCAATATTAAATTTGTATACCCAGAGGAACTATTAATTTTTAAGCGAAACACAGGACATCGGGTTAAAACAAATTGATAATCCTGTAGAATTTTTTTTTATTCCTTTGAAAATTCGTATCAGCGGTTTTAAAAGGTTTAAGCGACTTCGCACGAATCCAAATTGTTTTTTGTTATTGTTTTCAAGAATATGTTTTGATTTTTATTAAAGTCCCATTTAAGGGCTTTAAAAACTGCCTAAAACAAATCCAAATTGTCTTCTTTTTTCGAAAATTACTCCTTTACCGTTGAGATTTGGACAGGGGTTTATATAGCAATTTTTTTGTTGCATATGGTGAGTAGAAATACCCCTGAAATTTTTGACACTTATCGCCAGTCACCCTGTATTTGGTCTACTTTACTGAGAGTGTCACTTTTACTCACTACTATTACTAATGATTAGAAATTTGTTAATAAAAGAAATAATTATTCAGAAATCGTGAGATGCGGTCTGGAGTGATGTAGGTTTCAGAAAAACATTTTCTTTTGCCCTGAAGATGATCTCAATAAAGATCGAAACGTTGGCACGATAAAGAAAATGTTTTTCTGAAACCTACATCACACCAAACCGCATCTCACGATTTCTGAATAATTATCGATTAACTGTCACTAATCACCACACAATAAAAGAAATATTAATAATTACATATACTTTTGTAGATCATTGGTCATAGTTTAGTCCATTGGATTCCAATGGAAATTTCACGGAATTACTTTTTGAGAAAACTATCGAGCATTTCATTCCGAAAGATTATCTACATATATACATTCAGGATTCCATTTCTCTGAAAGTTAGACATGAGAGAACGATAGATAGGGTTAGATTAATTCACTATTATTTCTCTGAAGTGTTCTTAAATCTCAATAACAAAATTATAACAAAGAGGTACATTTCATTATATTCTTGCAGTGTGAAAGAAAATTACGTACCAGTTTCGAATGATGCGTCGAAGCACAGATGTCCTTTTTTCGCTTTTCCTGAGTGGCCTGGGGGGCGCATAACGACCCTGGTCACGTTGCCCATGCTGCCTTCATTTTCGCTATCTTCGCTCTCTGCAACAAAAAAGTTCCATAATTTTTAAATTCCCGGCTCGATGGTCGCAGAGGGCGTGTGTGTGTGTGTGTGTGTGTGAATATTTTGCCTACGTGGAAAGCCTGAATTTCGTCGTTTCAATTAACTATCATTTTACGCCCTGTGTTTTGAAGCGTAATTGTATTTAATCAACCTCCCGCCTCTCGTGACAGTTCATTAAGCTCTAGATAATTCCATGCAAACAGGGAGGAGAGGAAGTGCTGGGCTGCTGTGCTTTAATTAAATCACAAATGTACTTTCCCTTCTAGTTTAACTGTGATTTTTCAATGTTTCCTTTTATTTTTAAGAAACAGGGGTGGAGTGAAAAAAAAACTTTATTTACATACTGTTATGGTACTACTTCGTTATGTTTGCTACCTCCTATTAATTAGGCTTTTGTTTTATCGCATACATGAATTTGTATGGCCAATTCATTATAAAAACGGTACATTTTTTTAAATTTAAATTTGAAATTCAACTCCGACGCCGGATTTCAATTGTAAATTTTAACATAAATAATACTGTACAATATTGAACCATAAAATATCAAACACGACTAAAGCCAGAAACAGACTTACCCGATGCTACGCCATGCGACGCTACCCGACGCTACGCCATGCGACGCTACCCGACGCAAATCCAAACTCCAATTTTCCATAAGATTGTATTACCTCCGTGCACATCTGCCCGATGCCACGCAACGCTACCCTATGCTACGCTACGCGAACCCCACTGTCCACATTGTCGTCGGGTAGCAGCGAGTACAGTCGAAGACAAAAGAACCGGACACTCATATTTTTATTCAAACTACATGTATTATTGTTGTTATATTAATACCTATTTTAATATAAACCAAATTAACTGTGATTAACCAAGATCAAAAATTCATTAGTTTTTATTTTAAAAAATTAATTTTAATGGTTTGGTAGAAAATTAATCAAAACACCGGAATACGATTTTTTGATATAATGAACTTAACTAACAATATTTATTGTACTCGCTTCGACGGTACATATACTAAAATTGGAACAATTTATTACACGGTTTTGCTCATAAAATTTAATTAACAATGTATTTCATAGTTTTGCTCGTAAAATTACACCATTTTCTAATGTCGGGTAGCATCAGAACAGGACACTCATATTTTTTGTAGCTTTTTTCAAACTAAGTACATGTAATTTTGTCGTTATATTAATTACAACATGTTATTTTAATGTAAACCAAATTAAACGAGATCAAAAATGCATAAGTTTTTTTAACATTGTTTAATTAGATGGTTAGGAGTAACTTTATTTAAAACAATTAAGTTTAACAAACAATTTATTAGATGGTTTGCTCATAAAACTTAACTAAAAATTTATTACAAGGTTTTGCTCAAAATAGTGCATTAAGAACAAAAGATGCGTTGCGATTGTGCTAGTGATTATTGTGATAAACGCTGTGGACTGTACGCGACGTTTGCGTCGGATAGATGTGCACACCCCACCAAAACGTGGCAAGGCGTCGGGTAGCATCGGGTAGCGTCGCATGGCGTAGCATCGGGTAAGTGTGTTCCTGGCTTAAAGCAGTGTATCGCAGCTTCGTGGTCGCTCCCGCCCCAGTGGTTTTGACTCTCTCTTGGGGTGATTCAGGACGATGGTTCTCCATCGACCCTATCGTTGTGCATTTTTTGGAAAGATACCATGAACTGGTCTCTGCAAATGGTTTTTGTATGGGTAGCCGGATATGTAGGTTTGGAGGATAACGGAAAGACTATCACCGGGACGTCTCGACCTCCGGACTGAACCAACTCGATTGGATAGCATGATGCTGAAATGCGATAAAAAACATGATGAATATGGCAGCATCATAGGGCCGGATCGGGAGTGAAGAGATCAAGGGCATTGTCGAAAGGTCGGAGGATCTGACTCGTAGAAGAAGGGTCATCCTCACCCGTCAAGTCTTCAAGTCAATTAAGACTAGACCAGGTGAGGTCGACACATGAACACTTATACTTGTGCCAAAGCCCGCATGACCTTCATATAGAGAAAGGATCCCACCTAATTGAAAGGTGCCACTCCTGGATAGCCTGTATTTCGGTCTCCTGGTCCTGTTTTTGCAAATCCCGAAAACTTCACTTTGAATCTATTTCCAATTACAATTTTTTTTTCTTCTCCTGGTATTATTCATGATTACTAAAAGGACGGTTTTCCTTATCAGCTGTCTCATACCACCTGCATTGGCTTATCGGAAAGCTTCATCTAACTCTATATGGCCAATAAAATTCTTTGGGGGATCTTAGATCCTTGTGCCCTTCTCCATATATTTATTTACCGATGTTCTAAGGTGATGAAGGTGTACGATGGGCTTCGTACGATGTCCAGACAAAAGAGAATGGAAAATACAAACTGAATGAATAACTATCTTTTCAGCGGAACTAAATCGGCATTGGATGCCATATTGGGAGGAAATTTGATGGAAGAGAAAGTGTTTATCCTGACGGATTCAAGGAGCTCGGTGGAGAGCATTAAAAATTTCAACTTACAGTCAGGTTGCTTCTATACGGTGTCCAAAATTATGGTACTCAGCCATAGACTATTAGAACGGCACCTTCTGTTGGGTACGGGGTCCTGGAGAAGTCCAAGGCAAGCTGTGAAAAAAGGGCGAAATTTAAAATCCGCCATCCCAGTTGAGGAGTTCAAAGGCAGTTTACAAAAGGAAGTATATGGCACTTTGGAGAAGCAACTAGACTCCTGCTCCACTGGTAAATTTTACAGAAATACCGATGATCAGGAGGAGGCCTTAAATTTCCAATGTCTAAAACAAAGTGTACTACAATAAATAGAATCCGGTCTAACCACGGAATAAGTGGAATATATTTGAAGAAAATAGGGCAAAGACGTCCTATGTTTAGTATGCGAAGAGAGGAAAGACCTGGAACATGTCATAATGAAAAGCAAAAAGTATAATAGTGAAAGAACAAAAATGTTGGACAGACTGTAAAGAATTGGAAAGCTGATGAAACCGTTTAATTATATATCCGTACTACAATTAAATGAATTGGAAGTGTACAATGTTGTTTTAGATTTCCCAATGGCTACGGACTTAAAAATTTGATCAAAAAGGGTTACAGATAGTCTCTGAGCCAATTGCCAAAAAAGCAAAAAAAAGACATCCAATAACACGTAATCAATTGCCTTTGCACTATGATGGATTAACGAAGAATAAAAAAATCTACAATCAAAAGAAGGTACAGAAGAAACAGGATTTTTAATATATTACAAAAATTGCTAAATTTTACGATTATTGAGTGACAAATACTTGATTGAGTCTAAAATTTCTAGCATTGTATAAATTCACTTTTATCACGTCCTGCATGTATTTGTATAATTTAAACAATGTTTGTAAATCCCAGGTTCTGAAGATGATCTCTATAAAGATCGAAACGTGACAAGACAAAGAAAATGTTTTTCTAAAACCTACGTCACATCAGACCGCATGTCATGATACCCAAATAATCATTAACTAACGGCCACTAAACACCACACACTAAATTTTACATTACTATATTATTCAGATTACGAATTGGCTTAATTTTCATGTCGAAGCATATGTAATTAACCATACCAGCGTTATACTAGAAGTGTAGTCAGTAATCGGCAGAAAACGATAACATTTATTATTTCAAACAATAATCCTCGTGTTATTTTAGGGATTTTTTCCCCCGGCGAGATGCGTAACGCTAAACCCAAACGAAAACTCTCGGAGAAATGATCCTCGACGAAATTGCACCGCCTGAAAACATGAAAATAAAAGAAGACTATCTCTACTGTCTAAGGGTGCTTCGCCATGGCCGGATTCCCCTTATAACAATTTAACAAACCAAGCGTAGACAGTAAAAAAAAATGCCTAGATCGTGTTGGTTTATTAAATTTTGCTTTGTTATTTTTTAAACATTTTTAAAACATACAACTCGGGCAAAAGAACTAGAAAGTTTGGGAAAAAGGTTAAAATGAACCTTTTATACCGTTGCAGTTCTTTATTTAATTGATTTGTCAAAACCATAAATTTATGTATGTTTATTTACTGGATTGACGCCCTCTAACTCTTGAATATTTGTCAAATCTACATCATCTTCTTCCTTCAAATAACCACAAACTAAGAGCTAAAGTATTTTACCTTGCCGGCTGAAAATTTCAGTTCAATTTGTTTAAATCGTTCAAGTGTAGTTATCCGTGGTAATAGGGCACATCTTAACACGACTCAGAATCGGCCATACACTATTGACCAACGGACATATTATTTTGGGCTAAAGACCGCTTATGTGTACATCATGGAGAAAAAAATTGCTCACTGTGCCGTTCCTTAGAGATTGAGTAGTACCTACGTTCCGATAGACCAAACATAAAGATCTATGTATATACAAATTAGCAAAATTAGCAGTAAATCGTATTAGTGTATATATAAATCGTTTGGTGATGCATTCTGTGTAAACTTTTTCGTGAGAATGTACTTATAAGCGTGAAAGTGTATGTAGTATGGGAGCACACCACGTCAACAAATTACACTAATTAGTGAAGTGTGTAGTTGTTTTTATGTGTAAAGGGTTAAGGGAAAATTGCGTGTAATCCATCACTTCAGTGTATCAGCAATTTTTTGCAGATCAGGCATGCGGACACAAAGAAGTGAGTATTGTAATTCTCACCAAGCTTTCGACCTACATTACAGTTTCCAATTAATTAATCTTTTTATGTAAGGCTTTGGTTGAAATGAAAAAGTTAGTGTCACGAATTTGAATTTTCCTTCCTTTTCGCCATTTTTCAAAAGGTGCGGTTGAGATGAAGCGTTTGTGTCCGAGAGGATCGAAGTCACGATAGCTCAAGTGGTAGAGCAGCTGCGTATTTAGCCGAAGGTCGTGGGTTCGAATCCCGCTCGTGACACTGACTTTTTTTATCTCAACTAAAAACCTTAATTAATCGACATATATTAATTGGTCAAGCGGTCCACGAAAACTAGTGAGTTTTAAATAAAGTTATTCCGGTGTGTTGATAAATTTTCTTCCTAACCATCATAATTAAATAATTTTTATAAAAACTCACGAATTTCGTTCATTTCGTTTAATTTGGTTTACATTAGAATAATAACGTTGTAATTAATAAAACGGCAAAATTACATATACATAGTTTGAAAGAAACTAAATAAAAAATATCAGTGTCCTGACGAAAATTGTGTAATTTTATGAGCAAAACGATGAAATAAATTTTTAGTTAAGTTTTATGAGCAAACCCATGTAATAAATTGTTAGTTAAATTCATTATATCAAAAAATGGTATACCGGTGTTTTGATCAATTTCCTACTAAACCATTAAAATTAATTTTTTTAAAAATAAAAACTAATGAATTTTTGATCTTGGTTAATTTGGTTTATATTAAAATAAATATGTTGTAATTAATATATCGACAATAATACATGTATTTTGAATAAAAATATGAGTGTCCGGTTCTTTTGTCTTCGACTGTACTCGATGCGACCCGACGAAAATCTGGACAGTGGGGATCGCAGAGCGTAGAGTAGTGTAGCGTGGCATAGCATCGGGCAGATGTGCACGGGGGTAAGTAAATTGGACTTTGGATTTGCGTAGAGTAGCATCGGTTAGCGTCGCATCGGGTAAGTGTGTCCCCCGCTTTATCAGTCTTCTGTGTGGGGTATTTTCATTTGAAATTTCTTATAAAATATGAATTTCATGGTGTCAACAGGCATTTTCAGACGTCTTATGTGAAACTCCGACCGAAATCTTAACTTTTTCTTTGTTTATGTAAGTTGGATATTTGAATCTGTTCAAAATTGTGGTCCTTCTTGGTTGAAGATATGTGGAATAGGTAGTCTGAGGCCAAAAAGTGGTCTTTTCCATCGCCCCAGTAGGGCACGCTAGTCTCTCAGCTATACTCCGGTTCCTGAACACCCTCTGCTGTATTAGGATATGAGTGAAAAGAGGAGTTTCAAAACGTTTGGGGATTTAGTTAAATTTTTGTATTCTATTCCTTTTTTTAATCAACGACCTCATTGATCCGTTGACAATGTACATAATTATCATTTCATTTTTCATAAAACATACATTAAAAATAGTTTAAGTTATTTTGTTTGTCAAACTTCTACGACGACCATAATTCCACGTGAGGGTGTGGGTTGAATTACATTTCTGGCTGATCCTTGTTACATAAAACATGAGGGTGTCATTGAGTCCTAGATTTGCACCCCTGGCAATCCTTGAGATGATATGTGTGAATCTGAATTTGAATTGATTGATTGAATTGATGACTGCTAAAATTTGTTAGAAATGAAAAAAATGAATAAAAAACTTTCGCGAATTATAATCAGTCAATAGGTAAATGTAATTATTATGTATATTTATGTAGGTATATTTATTTATCACGATTAAACTCGTGTAACTTCCTCTAACCGAAAAAAATTAAGTTTTTGTCTGTCAAGTGGAAGGGGTTTATCGCCGGTTTACAAACTATGCAAAACTTTGATGCGTACCTGTTCTTAGGTTAAATTCCTCCTGTTAAATACCTAATCTAACCCCTTCTACATCTTAATTTCAATGCTAGGCTGCAGATATTACCTCTGCCTAGATTTTCAACTGTAATATCTTCCACCAATAGGACAGATCCGATGTGAATATTACCATTGCGAAAGTCACGGACAACATAATGGCTACTTAGTCGGCATTAAGGCTGAGGAAAGCTGGGTTATTCAGGAATTAGGAGGACCAGTGAGTGAATTGAATTCGTTACATAGAGAGTTTATGGGAAACGTAAGGGATGTT